TGACGCGAAGCTGTGAGGAGCGCCAGCCCCAAATGCACAGTGCAATGGGCTCTGGCCAGCAGCAGCTCCACGTTCCCGAAATCCAACGGGAAAACATCCCTTTTCAGGCCTCTCACCTCCCCCATGCTTTCCTTTGGGACTTGCTTTCCTGGTCCTCTCCTGCTGCCCCCAGCTTGCCTAAGCCCCATTGGATCCGGTTTAACTCCAATCCCCTCCATTATCCCAAGGCTCAAATGCTCTTTACAGCCGAGAGCTGAGCAACTTCCTGCAGCTCATGCTGCCCAGGGAGGACACAGGGCATTGCCAAAGCGGATTAATTTTTGATGCTCAAGCCTGGGAGCTGGACGCACTGAACTCTCCATCCTGGCAGGGCCCTGGGTGCTCCTGCCCTCCCTCCTGCACCGAGGACAAGGCGCAGGGAGCAGCAGGCATCCTGCCCTCAGCATGGAGCGTGGCTAATGCCGCACGACGCCAAGGCCGCAAGGTGCCGTCCCCAGGGCAGGGAGCTCCGTGTCGCCCGCGCCGCAGCTAAGCCAGGCTCCGATTTCAGTGCAAGGGGGGCTAATTTCACTTTAGCCCCCGACCTGCTCCCTGCTGGCTCCTGTCGCCGTAGCCCGAGACAGGTTGATGGCAATTTAAGAGCGTCCTTATGACCCTCTCGCACCGGCTGCCCTAGAGCAGCTTCAGATCTCGCCGGCTGCTAAAGGAGCGTGACGGCGAGTCTAGACGCGCTCGGCCCGGGCGCTCTCGCCGGGCTGCCCTGAGGGCTGCGGCAGCCGAAACGCGCAGCACGACGCAGCCAGCAGCAAAGGTGACCCGTGTCCTCGCGGGCCCCACAGTGCAGAGCCCCCGTATCCCGCTTCCCGACCCCGCTCCTGCAGCGCTCCGGCTGCGCGGGAGGATGGGGCTCGGCTGGCGCCGCGCTACGGCACAGCTGAGCTCAACAAATGCCGTCCGATAATTAATTGAACGCCTGTGCTATCAGCTACCATTACCTAGGCCCATCTTGGCACCGCTCCACTGCTTCACACCTCCCACGCCGGCAACCCACATGGCGTTTTAACCCTTCCTTCAACAGCTTCTGAAC